TTTTTTAAAAGTAATAATTACATGTATTTCATATAAGTTTATATTGTAATTTTGTATTGTTTTTATAGATGTGCTACCTATTTAAGAATAATATGTCCATATAAGAAATGAGTTACCGAAGTATCTATTGAACTATCAAAGGTGTATCAAATGTTTGACACATTAAAGGGATTTTTTTCGAGATTGAATAAACATTTAGTTGCAATAAATAAAATTAATTCTTAATTTACAAAAAATAAATAAATAAATAAATAAATAAATAAATAAATAAATAAATAAATAAATAAATAAAAATAAAGAATTCATTAACGCACAGGATGAAAATAATAATGCAATTACATGTTGACCGGGTAATCATATGAGTATTCAGTTTATAAAACTCGGAATGTATGTAAAATGAAGGAATATGGTAAAAATTGTTTTGTTTTTATTTAAGGACAGATGACACAAACAAACTTTTATCAAAAATCTTGAAAATAACAACTTAAGTCATGTTTATATCAGTAAAATAAATAAGGGTAACCGCATAGATTTCAATTTTTCTTTCAAAGTTTCAAAATAACGTAGTTTAAAGTTATCAAATAAAACAAAATTTTAAAAATGTACAGGTTAAACAATCTAATTCCCATTTAAAAAAATGATTTTGTTTAACGATTTTTCAACTGATAGCAGGGTTCGAAATTCACTATACACAACTCGCAAAACGCGAGTTAGAATTCCCAAATTGCGAGTTAAAAATTAGGTAACTCGCAAAAACTTGCGAGTTGATTTTTTTTTTGCATTGAAACTGTAGCAAAATTATATAATATGACAGAACACAATGCTTTTGATTTAAATCAATAATTCAAATAAAAGTCGCACTGTAGTTGTATTTTGTGTATTTTACAGTAGTTACTTTTTCCTTAAGTTACATGTATTTAATTTATATATATTTAACTTTATATGAAAATTGCTAGTAGTCTTATAAAATTGCGCGTTCACTTTCTTGGTACTAGCAATTATTTGCGAGTTCTAATTTTAGGGAGTTTCTAACCCTGGATAGGTAGATGGACGTAGTGATGTGTGTTTGTAACGTTATGATAAAATGGAAGTTCTTTAAGAGGGGGTCATAAAAATGTTATTAAAGAAAAAATGTAAAATATATGCTCTTAAAATTTTAAACACAGGAATGTTAAAATCTAAAAATTATTTTCTGATTTTTTCCCTTTATAAATCATTAGTATCTGTCGTATTTTGTGGTACTCCATAAAAACAAGAAAATTTCGTAATTTTTTTTCCACGTCAAAACTAAGGCATTTAATTAACCTGGGCAGTGTCTGTTCCTTTTCTAAGAGCTCAACATTAAAACAGAAAGTCATGTGTCTTTTGGATATAAACTTTAAAAAGGAGGTCCAGTGCCACATGCAATAGGCATTGCCAAATAAAGAAACAAAATATCAAAGGTGTGACACTGCATTTAAAGTAGATGATCTCTCTGGGTAAAAAATTCTAGAATGGCATTTTGCCCTGTCCGTCCGTCTGTCTATCTAGCTGTCTGTTTGTCCGCCAAAACTTTAACCTTGTCCATAACTTTTAATTGGTTGGAGCTACGGCTTTCATATTTCACATGTGTATGCCTTGTGATAAGACCTTTATTTGGGGAACAATATATTTGACCTCTTGACCTTGGAGTTTAAATTCTTTCGCAAAATTTTTACCACACTTTAACCTTGCCATAGAACTTTTGAATGGTTGCTGCTAGGGCTTTCATACTTCACATGTGTATTCCTTGTGAAAAAACCTTTCCTTGAATAACAAGACTTTTGATCTCTTGACCTTGGAGTTTGACATACTTTACAAAAACTTTAATAACCTTAATTGGCCATAACTTTTGCAAGGTTGGTACTAGGACTTTCATATTTCACATGTGTATTTCTTGTGACAAGACCTTCCTTTGGATACCAACATTTTTTACCCTTTGGCCTTGACCTTGGAGTTTAACCTACTTTTGAAAAACTTTAATCTTGGCCATAACTTTTGAGCAATTGGTGCTAGGACTTTCGTTTGTCACGTGTATTTCTTGTAACAAGTCCTTTCCTTGGGTACCAACAATTTTACCTTTGACATTGACCTTAATGTTTCTTCCCTTGGGTACCAACAATTTTGATTTGTTTACCTTTGACTTGTATTTGAGAAACTTTAACCTTCGCAATTAGCTGCGATAAAGGCATCACTGTTTCACAAACACATCTTGTTTTATTTTACCTTTATTTACATAACTAATATTTTCTCAGTAATTCGTGCCCTATAGCCTACTTAAATCTATCGTTTATCGGTAAAATTGAATTGCGACTCCGATATAACGCCAGTTTGGCATTGATGAATAATATTGAAATATTCATTTGTACTGTCCAAAATATTTTGATAAAAGATTTAATATTTTTAAAAAATATTCAGAATATAATTCTTAAAATTCGATTGTTAATGAAATATTGTTTCCCATGTACACGATTTTCTCGGGGCGCATGCCACTAAGTAAAAAAAAAATACAGGGTCAGGTAAGGGGTACAGGTAATATTAAGAGACAATAATTGTGTAGAAAAACAAATGAAAATAGAAGCATGATAATCACCAATAGATCAAGTCTAGCTTTTATAAAATCAATAATAACAGATATGGCTCGGACATTGAGCACCTCGTAATTAGAAAATTCATAAAAATCATCGGAATGTTATGCATTGATGTGCTCTGTAATACTAGATATGAATGTTTTTATTTTCAATTGGCTAAGTATGAAATAAATAAGGGAAATGGGTGAACATGACGACCGATAAGCCTTTAGTGGAACAAACATGAAGATGAAAAATTAAATTTCAATTATATCAAAATTTTCCTTGATATTTCGTCTAACATTAAAAATATACATTTTTTGGTTACCAAAAATATGGAGCAATGACCCACTATACCTTAAAAATATACTTTTATGACATAACATTCGCATCTTTTCGAGAAATACTTGAAGTCCATTAAGTCAAGGGTCATATCATGATTTAAATGCCACTGTTCGTCAGGACTTGTGTAGTCTAGTGGTTAGCGTGCTAGTCTCCAAAGAAAATGATATACAGGATTTTTATTGCTAGGGTTCGAACCCCACGAATACCACATTAATTTTCTAAATAAAAGAATAAATTTTCTTGAGAAAATTTTCCCCAGAAAAGTGTTGTTTATCACAATTTCATAAATTTCAATAATGAGAGCTTTACTCTTAATATTAAATTCAGAAACTGAACATGATTTTTATATTTCTGAAGCTATAGGCTTTCTGCACGCCATGTTCGCCCATCTCCTTATAAAATGCACTGTATGTTGGGAGAGTTACAAAAGAAGGTAGAACAAGAGGCCCATGGGCCACATCGCTCACCTGAGCACTGTGGCTAGGAAAAAAGCAAAAGTAAGTTCAGTATTGAAAAGTTTGCATAAGTGGTCCCGACTTACACCTTAAAAGGGGGTATGACTTGAACAAAAACTAAGGATGCTTACATATTTTTTTGATTAACTGTGGCTTCTTTTCCTATAAGTTTGAACTTTCATTGTGGTCCCACCTTACCCCCAGGGTCATGTTTTGTCCAAACTTGAATCTACTACTATCTGAGGATTCTTCCAAATACATATTTACAAATTGTTATACTATCCATTGGCATATCTTTTCTTTATTATTGTAATAATTTCATACTTGTCTGTTATGGGCTCTAAATTAGAAAATAAATGTTCTGTTCTGTTCTATTGATCAATCATGGCTTTGCAGCTCTTAAGAGGAAGATTTCCCTGTATACTCCTCTATAAAACTTTTCTTGTCCGTTGTGGCCCCGCCCTACCCCCGGATCTGAACAAACTTGAATCTACACTACTTGAGGATGCTTCCATATAAATGTGACCAATCATGGCTTTGCTGTTCATGAGGAGAAGATTTTTAAAGATTTTTCCTATATATTCCTATGTAAAACTTTGATCGTTCAGTATGGCCTCACCCTACCCCCAAGGTCATGATTTGAACAAACTTGAATCTACATTACCTATGGATGCTTCCATATAAATATGACCAATTATGGATTTGCTGTTCTTGAGAAGAAGATTTTTAAATATTTTTCCTATGTTTTCCTAGGTAAAACTTTGATCGTCCATTGTGGACCCACCCTACCCCCAGGGGTCATGATTTGAACAAACTTGAATCAACACTACCTCTAAATGCTTCAATATAAATATGACTAGTCATGGCTTTGTTGTTCTTCAGAACAAGATATTTTAAAGATTTTTCCTATATATTCCTATGTAAAACTTTAATCGTCCATTGTGGCCCCACACTACCCCCAAGGGTCATGATTTGAACAAACTTGAATCTACACTACCTATGGATGCTTCCATATAAATATGACCAATCAGGACTTTGTTGTTCTTCAGCAGAAGATATTTTAGAGATTTTTTCCTATATATTCCTATGTAAAACTTTGATCATCCATTGTGGCCTCACCCTACCCTGGGGGTCATGATTTGAAAAAACTTGTATCTACACTTACGTAGGATGTTTCCACATAAGTTTCATCTTTCCTAGCACAGTGGTTCTTGAGAAGAAGATTTTTAAAAGATGTGCTGATGCAAGATACATTTTTGACATTTGTATCCCCAATTGTGGCCCCACCCTACCCCCTGGGGCCATGAGTTGAACAACGTTGAACAACTTGATTCTGCACTACCTGAAGATGCTTGCATATTAACATGACTAATCCTTAAGATGATTTTTAAAAGATTTTTCCCTATAACCTAATATTTACATTTGCTGTGTTTTTCTACTAAGCCAACTGTGAAATTGATTTGAAAACTATTTTTGTGTATACTCATGCATAGAAATGCATGATCCTAAAACATGCAATTAAATACATTTAGTCGAAAAACAAACAAACAAAGTGATTACTTTCACGCTGTTGTATGTTTCAACACTTTTTAATCCAACAAGACACCTCTCATCTGATTAATTCATTTATTCAATACAATTTCTTCATATGTTCATGTACAGTATGTAAATTGCAAATTAACAAGACAGTTATACATGATATACAAATAAGAAATACAATGCCCTGGTGAATCACTTGTTAATTTGTACATCTGTGAATGGCCCTTATCTGAACTGTTGCCATGACCTTGATCAAACAGAAGGTCTTTATCTCCTATATATATGTATGTAACCCACTGTAAAATTTATTCTACCTCTGATCCCTAACACGTATCAGTTCAGTAATTTTTTTTTTCATAAGTGAATACATGTAACTGTGTATGCCGTTCACAATAATTGTATTCCAAGGTTTGAACTGTATGAGAGAGTAAGGGGAGACTACTTGTACTAAAATAATATTTTTAACACTACACCAATATATAATTCTTTGATGGCTTATGTTTCCACATACTGCTACATATACTGTTGTAGATACTGCATCCTTTACAATTCTCCAATAACAATACTGGAGAATTAGCACCATGGGTTGTGTTGATAATTATTAACTTTTCCTTTCTGAGGGATCAAAGTACATATACAAAATTTAAAGTGAGAAATCTTTCATTTCTACCAAACAATGAATGGAGCGGATTATTTTTTTTTCTATCTTATTTAACTCACTTCTGATCAAAATATCTGCAAAAGCTGCAAAACATTTGGCACATAATACACTGGGGCATTAATTGATCATAAATATTTAAAAGAAAATGTAAAACATTCAGCAATATGCATAACTGATCAAAGATAAGACAAGAAATAAATATATTGACATTTGCATATCATATAAAAATAACTTGATATGTTATCAAAACAAGAGTATTTAATTTTGACACCTAAATATTTGGCTTAAAAATCCTTGGATTCAAGAACACATATAGTAAAAACATTTGATACCAAACCTACTTATATATCAAATGTTTAAGGTACAGTGAAATTTATACCATAGAGAGAGCAAGAAAATAAAATAAAATTTTATCAATTGTTTACATGAATTAGAGTGTTAATCCAACACTTTTGATGTCCCATGGGTTCATTATCACGTTTTAATGTTTATGAAATGAATACCAGTACATTTCAACAATTTGCAGTATTATAAACTACTGAATACCAGTATATTTTAATGATTTGCAATATTATAATTTACAAGTGATTTCCTGATAAATACTATGCATATCAATAGGCAAACAATTAAATTAGGGATGTCAACGAGTACCCGGTTAACCGGGTACTCGATTGAACGTCCGAGTATCGAATACTAAAAATGGTATTCGGTTACTCGGAAGTGTATTTTTTCTTATTTCAAAGTACCTACTTTTATCAAAAACTTTAAAAAAAAAAAACAACATAAAAATGCATACGGTAATTAGTGTGTCGTCATCTACACCTTTAAAACACCCGTTATCGCCTTTGGCTGTGTATATACAGTAATTAGTGACCAATAATCTGGTGCACGGCTGTTCTCACCTATTATGGTCCTTAATTTTTGGATGGCTTCAATGATTGTTTTCAATGAACATCATTTAAGTATGGTCTATTATCTTCAAACAATTTTTAAATTATTTAGTTAATATACGGCAGCGAAATCGGGCATGCATAGAAATGCCGCTGCCCCTTCAAAAGTGAAGAAGTATTTAGAAATAACTGAAGATTAAAAAAATGTTGAAAGTCAGTTTGCATAGTAAGTTTAGTGTATACGGGGGGAAACAACCAACATATGAAATAATAATAAGACTAGCGATCCCAACAACGTACGTTCCTTCCCTTTCACTAGTCCAATCATCACAAACCTGCGTATCAGATTGTCCTTCTTTTGCGTTGATGGAATAGATTCTAAACAAGAATTGTAAACCATCTGACGTATTGTGTCTTTTGTGTTTATTTGATTAATAAATTTACTACCAAAAAATCATTTCCCTTGGACTCGATTGTTTATACACTATCATAAACATGATAAAAACAGCCTCAGGGTTTAACAGAGCTTAACGGGGCTCAATAAGATTAACACACTTGTATTTTCATTTTTACCGAGTACCCGGGTACTCGATCGGAAAAACGTCCGAGTAATCGGTTTTCAAAAATTGACCGATTTGACATCCCTAAATTAAATACATTAAAATGGAGGAAGTCAAGAATTCAAACAAACAGGAGTTATCCTACGATACTATATAAATGTTACTTTGCTGTTTGACAGACTTAATTGTAGACTTGAGTCAATAGATGAATGAGAACTTGGTGTTTTTAACCCCCTGGTGTCGGTTTCCAGAGAAGTCAGATAAATTTCCTCACTTTCATTCTTATGACCCAGGCAGCTGGCAGACTGGGACCTATCAGAAGATAAAAGGAAAGTCCAAGTAAAGAGCTTAATATACTGGATATGTTGATACAGTATACATGTATGTCCCCTCCCATAGCAAAGATAAAATCAGGGCTATAATTTGAGAATAACGTAAAAATCAAGGTCATAGGGAAGACCAAGGTAAGATAAATTGACACAATTAAATAACTTGTTATGGTCAAAAACTTTTAACAATTCCCTCATCCTTAGGAAACTCCTGAAGGTTAGTTGCACATGGAATAAAATTGGTTAACAACAAGAGCATGTAAATTTGATCCATCATTTAGAATACAGAATGACTTACTGAAACAGAATATCTGATACATCCTGATTCTCTTTGAATGCTAAATGGATGGATGCTGCCAGTCTCTGAAATTCTTCCTCCTGACTTGCTACTGGTTGTAAAACATTCCCTGAAAATGTACACAAGTCATTAAGAGAAATTGTAAAGCAGTAGACATAATGCTCACATGCAGTTAAACCCAAACTTCTGTTGAATGCTATCTTTGCATGCTGTTACACTTTTCAAAGTGAGGAGTGTATATGGTTACTAGCAAGAGTTCTCTTCTCTTTTTTTTCATTTTTAATTTTAACAAATTCTCAGAAAAATTCATTTGCAGTAGTTGTGATTAAAAATATGTTGTGGACTAAATTCAGTGTGAAACTTTAATGCAGTATCAAACAACAACAGAATAGTTAAGAAATTATTCATTAAAAAAATGGTATTGATACACGTACCTTTACATTTATTCTTATTACCTGAAAGGCTTCTGAAGAAAGAATCATACTTCAGATAAGATGAACCATCCAATGTACTCTAAAATATCAAAGTTACATGTAAGAGAGTGAATGTATCATTTTTTTTTCGTACTTTCAAACCAGTGCAAAGAAACACTATATGTAATTCCTTTGATGAAAATCAAAAAGTTAGCATGTGTTTCAAGTGTTCTCTAAAACTTACAAATATTTTATTTACTAGTATTGCTTAAAAAAAATATATTTTTCACTCACCTCATCTAACTCCTCACTCAAGACGTCTTTCAAAGAGCTGTCCAGATCAGCTAACTGTGGGAGGGCATTCTTCCACTGTAAAAACAATCTAGTATTCACTTTCCATGCATGACTTTGTGAAAACTATTCCAAATCATTAAAACAATTTTGAAAATTTGCACATGCCCATGCAGAAATTTTTTAACATTGTATTTTAATGGTTACACATAAGGAGGAAACATCTTACCAAACTCTGAATTATCTTATAGTCAGGAACACTGCAACTCTCCAACAGAAGAAGAAGTGAGATATCAGAGTGACCTTGAACATACAAAATGGCATCCTCAAGGTCATCCAGTTCAGGGTACCACGTGGCTTCTTCCTGAACTGTACTTTCACTGGTCAGAGAATCAAACTGACTGGACTTAAATGATGAGTATTTAGAGCTTTGTATACTGCTGTCAACAGAGCTTGGAGGAATTCTTCCATCTAACACTACATCACTCATCTCATCACATGACACCCCCACCCCTGACGACACTCCCCCAGGAAATTCTAGCCTCTCTTTCAGCTGTTCAGAAGAGGAATGAGAGTCAGCAGTTGTTTGAATTTCAGATTCGGTTCCAGAAAGTCTGCTGTCGATTGTGTCAATATCAGACAGTTGTTCTGGAGTTCTGCACTGGGGAAGCTCATCACCGGAATGCAACAATGTCACATCTTGAGGAACTTTCTCAGTTATCTCCTTCATCTGTTCCACATCAAAATCATTTATAATTATTCCAATATCAGAATTATTTGCATCACTTTCTTCTATACTAGTCTCAACAGTGGAATGGACTTCAGCCAATATTGTCACCTCAGAACTCATATTTTTTCTATTAATATGCTTGACATCTTCATTAGAACTGGATAAAATGTTATTTATAACATTATTTTGAGTACAGTCTTCATCATTGGTAAATTCCACTTCTTTAAATGCCTTTTTACTTTTATTCTTTGGACTTTCATTCTCTAAGTCACTAATGGAGACATCTTGTTCTGACGTATTGTCCACATTAGTTGCTGGATCTGACGGAGATTCAAAACCCTGGGTAATTTGTGTAGGGTGGTCAGCTGGTGTCCATAAATTGCTATTCTTTCTAGAATTATTTCTACTTTTCTTTGATTCCACAGAAGTATCAGAGAGGTAACCTTTGTCTTTTTCACTCACTGAAATAGATTCCAATTTTTCAGGAATCATTTCCATTTCTTTTCGTTTTGAGTTCTCTCCTCTGCTCTGAGTTCTTGTTGATTGGTGACTTTCAGAACTATACGTAGTCCATACAAATTTGGAATTTTTGCAGTGCCTGTTACCAGCATGTCTCTTGAGTCCAACTGTAGAATACTCCTCATTTGTCAAAAATATGGTGACAAGTCGAATTCCTACAGGAAGGTCTTCTCCTTTAAAAATAGAAAAAAGAGCCTACTAAAAAATGTTAATATTGCAAACAGAGGTTTCCTTCATTTGTTCCTAATTTTCATATGGAGAGTTCATGTACCGGTATTCAATTTTTTTTCAGTTTCATAAAATATGTTTTAAAGCAATCATTAATATTAATTATCATATTTCTGTTGACAATCACCTGTATTGACAGATAAACAGGGAAGCTACAAAGACAAAACAAAAAGATTTCAGATTTATTAATTCAAAATATCATGCAACTTTTCATTATATGATGACATTATTTTTTAATTAAAACGTGAGAATAATAAAATCAACATTCTAAATGCAAACAAATATTTTAGCTAAACTTTTAATACAACATGTGCTTTAATTTGATAAAACTTGCATTCATTCAAAAATAAAAAGATACCTGTGGTGTTACAAGTATTAGTTTCCTACTCAGCTCAGGTGAAGCTTGAGTACACAAAACCCTGATAACAAAAGAAACAAGAAATATAAAATGATAAATTCATTAACACAAGAAACAAAAGTAGATGTTTGCTATCTAGTAGATAAATGTACCTATTTTTGTACATGATAAGTCCCACCAGAACCCCTGGTCTCCTCTGACTAGATTGTAAAATGTGTGAAGCTTGAAGGAAGAGTTCCCCTCTACCCTGAAAGTTAAAGTGGTCAGTGATCCAAAGGGGCATAACTCCTGGCATCCTAATTTCTTCTATTTAAACATTTCAAATGACATATGAAGTTATTTGTAACTCAATATAATAATTATTTTTCATAGAAAAACAAAAGGAAATAACACTTTGTTACATTGTCAAAAACAATCCCTTTAAAATGTTCTTTTAATTCTACAGATAAAGCCATTGAAAAAAAATAATATAGTGCAACTGCATCAATGTTTACCTTAGGAATGTTTAAGGACGGTTGGATCTGGAATGCTTGTGTAAGAAAACTGTCATGCCATGAGCCACATGGGTAGAGTATGTCCCAGATACCCCGCAGCTCTCGTAAAAATCCCTGATGGTTACCTGGATACTGCTGTGAAAGATATACACAGGTAAACTTAATTATCTTCCTTTGTAGGTGAGGACTTTTAATGCAATATAACAAGCATCTTTCAAAATTTTTAAAACCATTTCCATTTATCATTGAAAAACATTCTGAGAACATTTATAATTCTGTATGCATTTTAGCATATAAAAAATATAGAATGAATGCAAGGACTAGTAATGTACATTTATCTAATCATAAGTGCTTTCTGACTTTTCTACATTTCATTTGTATTACATAATACCCTGGATGGACATTCTTGACTTTCCCTTAATCTTATTAAATTAATAAACTAATGCTACAATGAAACCATTCATTTACATTTCTGATATTTACTATACTGATATTACTTACATATCTGATATTTACTTGACTGATATTAACATACACTTACATTTCTGATATTTACATACATTTACATTTCTGATACTTACTATACTGATATTTACATACATTTAAATTTCTGATATTTAATATACTGATATTTACATACATTTACATTTCTGATATTTACTATACTGATATTTACATACAATTATGTTTCAGATATTTACTCTACTGATATTTACAGATACTTACATTTCTGATATTTACATACACTTACGTTTCTGATATTTACATTCACTTACATTTCTGATATTTACTATACTGATATTTATGTATGGTATCACTTACATTTCTGATATTCACTGATATTCATAACAATTACATTTCTGATAATTACTGATATTTACATACACTTACATTTCTGATATTACTGATATTTATAACAATTACATTTCTGATAATTACTGTTATTTACATACACTTACATTTCTCATATTTACTGATATTTACATATAATTACATTTCTGATATTAATATACACTAGCATTTCTGATAGTGTATTTACTATACTGATATTAACATACACTTACATTTCTGATATTTACTGATATTTACATACACTTACATTTCTGATATTTACTGATATTTACATACACTTACATTTCTGATATTTACTATACTGCCACAATACAGGACAAATGCATCATACAAGAAGTCTAGCTGTTGTTTTAATTGGTCATTGGAATCCACCTGATTTCCTTCTAGTCCCTACAAAATCTTACATATATGTATCAATTCAATTTAAAAACTGTCTTTAAATATCAGAATTTCTAACTAAAACAACCATGTTCATCTATACTAATTATGGTCTGTAGCTCACTGTGACTGATCTGAAAAAATACTGAGATAAACAACCTTTGTGAGTGGTATTTTTGTGTCACCTGCAGAGCAGAGCGGCACTAAGGAATCACTTTACTCGGCGTCTGTCTGTCTGTGTTTCACACCCTATATCTCAAGAACTATAAGAGGTATGGATTTGATATTTTGCACATGTATTGCTTGGCAAAATAGCTTTTGTTAATTACCATGGTTACTGACCTCATGACCCTTGGCCTTGACCTTTGACCTACTTTTCAAAATAGCTCATAGTGCCAATATACAGCATATTTTTGACATTTAAGAGGTAAGTCTATGCTATTTAGAATGTGCACTGTATGTCATTAGACAATATGAAAAATACCAGCATTAAAATCCACTTGACCTTGACCTTTGACCTACTTTGCAAAAAATATCTCGGGCAGTTTAATTAAACTTATGACTTTTGAATTTTGAGAGGCAAGGGTAAGATAACTAGCATTTATACATGTTTATGAACTCAAGATAGTGTACTTTGAAACCTAATGATATTCATTTACCAGACAAACTTATATTTAAATACTATGAAAATACATTGGGACCGGTATTCAACAATGGATCATGTAGACTGAGAATTTCAGTAAAGACAGACTGAAATATCTTTTAAATGATTATTCAAAACATGTTTAGCTCATGAAAAAGTACTTTGAAACTGTTTCATATTCGATTACCACACAAATTTATATTTAAATACTGCCAAAAAAAAACATCGGGATGGGTATTCAACAATGGATCGTGTAGACTGACAATTGTAGTAAAGACAGACTAAAATCTCTTTTGGAGGATTGTTAGAAACATGTATTAATAAAATGACAAATAGTTATTTCAATTTAATTATTCATTTGAGGGTTATGGAACCATATTTTCTTTGATTGTCAGATTCTATTACAGTCATACTATCCATGGATGCCATTTTTTCTTTGCTGGCAAATGCATGAACTATCAGTCTTTTCATCGTCGCAAGCCACGGGATTTGTGTCCATTCTATTTCCACAAACCCGTGGCTGTCTCCTACAAATTTCTCTCATTCTCATGAATATTAATAACATACATTCAATCAATGGAATAACATCTGACGCTTCAAGTCAGAACCAATGAAAATGATCAGTCTATCTTGTATTTGGATGTAACCATAACCACGAGCTGTACATCAACTTCGGTTCGAATTTCCTTTCTTAACGAGTAACGCTATTCAGCGTTCTCACACAACGTCTACATTCGAAACCCTGTATTTTAATGTAAAACCTTGTAAGTCTGTTTTTCAGGATCTATCGTTTTTTTTTTCAATAAATCTGCCACGCATAGCAAACATGGTTTCTTTATGGGCGCCACCATTTAAGCGTACCAAAAATTGTTACAGAGTGATTTCATTGGTCAAGTAAATATGGCGTCACTTAATAAATATTCAATGATTCAGTCGCGAGAACAAGAGAATTTGGTAGGAGGCAGCCACGGGTTTGTGGAAATAGAATGGACACAAAACCCGTGGCTTGCGACGATGCAGTCTTTTATGCTTATAGTAAATAAAGAGCTGACCACTCTTAGATTTATTTACACCTTTAATGAAGCTACAAAGCAGGCGACACATGCATTCCTCGGAACACTCTAGTTCAGATTAGTGAGCTACAGATCTGCAGTTAAATCTTTACTTACTAAACTATAATCTCCAATTCTCTTCAGGCAGTACTTTCCATGCTTTAGGGCAAAGATACATGGTGGTGATTTACTGAGGGTGGTGGAGAGGAACTCGGACATTCCCATCAACTGACCACACATGGCACATTGGTCATTCTCCTCAACCTGTGTTAAAAATAAGCTTTGATATCATAGATCAAGTCTCATAGCCTAAGCTTTGCTGAAATAAACTACCCCACATGCTAAACCAAAAATACATCCTATGCAATACTGTATAGGTGGAAATTTTAGCGAGACGCACATTTAGTGATTTGTCCTAAAAAATCGATATATAATTTTAGCGAAAAGTAATTTTAGCGATTTTATGAAAATAAGATATATAATGGTAACCTCCAATGTGGTTGGAATTATTAGCAATATTCAATTTTACCGATCTCAAATTGCTAAAAATGCCAAAATTGAATCCTATCTTAAATTTCTGCTTATACGGTATATCACAATATGCAGTCATTTCTAAACTAAGAATCATCACAAGTTAGAATGTACATGTTAAGTGGGGTAAATATTTACTTACAAATGGGGGATAGAAGTACAGAATTGCATCTTTGAGGTCATCCTCCTCCTTCTGAAGCATTGTATGATCATATATAAAGAAAACTCCAACTCCATTCTTCCTACAAAAAGATTGTTTCTTTTAATTAATTACTGTATGATATATATATAACTTGAAAATTTTAGATAAATCAAACTGGATAAACAAATGTTTGTAAATTCACTTCCTTTTACCATTAACTTTTGAATTAATGAAATTAGACATCCAATATTCTATTGATATAATTCACAAGGATATCAACAGAGCTAACTTCAACATGCACAGGGTATAAAACACATCATGCCTGATATTGGAAGTTTACTACGATATCACTGCAGACAAGTTCACCGTCATTGTCAAATCTTACATGCTTAAGAGGAAGTAAACTGAGTCATATGAAAATGCATTGTTGTATTGAGAATTAGACAATTAATATATCTTAAATTATCAGTTATAATATTACATAGAGCTTTCAAGATTTTTACTTGTGATCATAAAATTTTCAGATTTAAAAGATCATATAAAAATTTTAGCCATAACAAAAGGTTCAAGAAACTAAACCATGTTATATGTTATATTTAGAGTACGAGTTTCCTACTGTATCTCCGATACAGTAAGAAACGAGTATTCTAAATGACTTGTGACATGACCTTTCTTATGACCTCGCTAATTTACAAGCGTATTTGGGTATATATCTCTTGACAAATCAGATGATTTTGCAGAAAGTTGATTTAGTACCCCATTTTTAGCAATCGCAACTGAAATGCCGAGTGAGGTGGACGTGCAGGTATCTATCAAATTTAAATAAGTATAATTATGAGATGCATTATATAATGTGTTTTCCCAAAATTTAATTTATATTTGATTGCGTAGTTTTTTTCCTTTCTATTTAGCTCTTGCTGACTTTTTTTTAAATCTAAGCTACATATTTAGTGCAAAACATTTTGATACATAAGAATCATATATGGGAATGTATTTGAAGCAAAAATGTTTCAAGGAGGTTGCATTCTGAGAGAAATGTCCGACAATGTCATCGACCGGTCATCATACATGTGTATACAAAATATATATATGAAATAAACAGATGTAAGAAAGGAGGCATATTACCTTCATGTTTGAAACAAAATGTAGAGGAACCAAAGGCAGATCCAGCACTCACTCGCGCGCTTTGGTATCCCCACCCCCCTTTCGAGTTTTGTTTTCTTTTTGGCTTTCGTAAATTATGTTTGCTAACTTAAACTTGTATATACTTTTAATTTATCAACACGAAATGATCACGCACATATATAATGTCAGGCCTGAATCTACCCCCCTCGAAACCCCCAATTTTCCAGTTTGAACATTTTTTTTTCGAAGAAAACCATTTGTGTACTGCCCCTCACTCCCCCCCCCCTTTCTAAAATTTTTGAATCCACCACTGGTAACTTCACATTATAAAATTCTATTCTTAATTCATCTCAGATTTTGAATAAATACTAACAGCGCTATCATGCGATTTGATCGATTCCTATGTCTATATCATTTAAGATATTGATTCAGTTTTCCGTCATCGCTAAAAATAAACTGTACTGTATCGTTGATATTTTGCAGATACAGTACAGTTTCTGCTCATTTGCATAAGAAACGCCCACTAAAAGTGTTCTGTATCGCAGTTATTGTACGGCAGACTTCAAAGGAAAACTCGCCGGGTCATGTCACAAGTTGTTTTGAACATATTTTATTGACAATATATCAAAGGGATTGGACACAAGTTCCAAAATCTTAGATAGTCCTCTCCCATACATAAAATCTTAATTAACCATACAACATTTACAAAGATTTACAATATTATACATGAACATATAAAATTGTAAATCTTTGTAAATGTTGTATGGCTAGTAAGATTTAATTACCTCCTCTGTTATATGTAGGAGAGTAATTAATATGGATGCTCATCCTAGCAAATAAAGATCAGTGTGAACCTACAGAGGTTATATACATCCTTCAGTATATCTTAATTAGTACACATACTATAGGGGTGTGTTTCAATGTAACTCGAATCCCCACAACAATATATCTATATTTTAAACATTCCAACTTTATATAAATTACCTCCCAAAGATATTATCTATATCACCAGCATGTGTATTTTCTAAGGGCTCTGATAATCTACAACGAAAGATTCGAAATTCCAGCAGCATGCGAGAGTTTATCAACAAATATGTACACTAATCTACACTATAATTTGATAATATATATGAGACATTTAAGAAATTCCCAGGTTAAACATGAGTCAAGGACTCTGAAGCCCTAAGGGTAAGGACCCATGAAAGCCACTGATTTCTCAGACCCATGGATTATTTCTGAAAATTAAAAAAAAAATGTCTTGGCTACAGCCGATATTGCATATTTGTACCAGCCCTCAACTAACCTTCAAGTGGATCAAACAGAAACATGATAAACGATCGACCCGGTGTACTGAAGAGCAAGGATGTATAGTTTCATTCATTTTAGCAACACAATACAGACTAGAAATAACGTTAAAAGGTACATTCCGTGCTTTATTAAATCATGATCATTAATCTTGCTAGAGACATCTCTTAGTTATTTTTTATCTATATAAATTATTACATAAATAAAAACAAACCTGAGAGCGGACATGTTTTGATCACATGACTAATCATAAGACGGGTAACCACCACGAGATGGCGCCCTTGTCTCGTGTAGTTGAACCTCGAGTTATTCGAGCTTCTTCCTGTTTTTCTCTGTGTCTTTGCTGGTGTAGAATCTAGTTTAAAAATGTATTATCTTTCAGTTAAGATGGGGAAAATGATAAATATATTATTTCTGATTATAACTTATGATTGTGTATGATAAAATTGTTTGTAAAATAAACAAAAATATTTACGATCACTTTTTAATTTTTTTTTTTGTATAAATATTGTTTAAATCAGTGTTTTCAAACATTGTTTGCAAATAAGTCGTATTCGGGAAGTTGGGCGAAAGTTTAAAAACATATTTTACTTTTTAAGAAACTTTTAAACAAATCAATCAGATTGTTAAACAAATATTACAGGTTTTGAAATACTGTGTTATGTTACATTAAAAAAATTTAATTTTTGCATGAAAAAAAATTAACCCTGCAGAATGCCTAGCTAGAATATTCATTTGATGTGGACATCTGGGTAACATAACCCCTCCCCCCATTTTTTGTCATCATGATTAAATTAATTACTGTTTCTTTGAATCTATTTTATTATCCACTTGTAAGAAAAAAAATTCACGGAATTATGAAATACAGATTTTTAGTACCTTTCAAAGCCGAACTGTACGTTTCAAGTTATACAAATAAATATAAAAATAATTAAAGATTCAAGAGACTGAAACAAGATTTTTTTTTATTTTCAACTTTTGAAATCAAGTTTGTTTTATTATATTTTCTTTTCTTTTTTTCCCTCGGTTTTTTATTCCTGAAATGAAGATAGACCTGGATGTACAGGTGTATACCAAGATAACTCGGTACTAAATAACATGTTTTTAGATTATTCTTGCCACCTGGGATGCATGAAATACAATGTCTTTATTTTTTACATATTTATTTTACTGAAAGCATTTGATCGTTCTTGCATAACAATTAAATCAATACACTGTATTAATATCAAAATTAGGCAATCGAGATATACAACGGAAGAAACGAACACACTTGTTCATGTAGTTTCTGACAGGAATGAACAATGTACTACAATTATTCACATTCGTATCTACTTGCATGATACTCATGCAAAACATATTTTTTTCATTAGGGGAAGGAATTAAGATATTCAAGACAGATATACACATGATGAATAAATATATAAATAATGTGTTACATGTGAAAGCAGGTAAAGAATCTTTTGATCTGGATTCACGGAATAGTTTTATTTTAATTTCATTGTTCAAAACAAGAACGTCTCTTCCTTGTTGAAAATATTGACAAAAATCATAATTGTCTGGATATGACAGACAGTAAGAAAAATTGAATATGTACAGGAATGAAAGATGGACGAATGAAGGAATGGTGACGAACACATCGGTCATTTGTGTAGTTCTGTCAATTCTCCAATCAATGACATAAAAGTCACAGTTCCCTACGGCGGAGGCGCTCTCACGGGACTGGGCGTCCTTGATCTCAAGCGATCTTTGCCCTCTCTTTCGTACTTGTCCCGATTTTCGGATGTGAACTTCTGTAAATAGTCTCTTGCGTACGAGTTGTAATACTTCATGGAGTCGCTGTTGTGTTTGCTCAGTGGTCCCACTGGCGAGTCTCCTGTAATGTTCAAAATAGTTATGACTGATAGGATGAAATATTATTTATCCACATCAACATGTAAGTGATACTTAATATATACAAACTTATTGATGTATATTTTCTTCTCAATAAAATAAACAAATGAAATTGCTCAAATAATGGTTATGCATGCAGAGATTTTCACACAAAAATAAATTCAAGAATTTCCATACTCTCTATAACATTTCAATATTCCAGCAAATGTGGAAAACCAAGAGTGTTATTTTTTATTATTTAATGTTTGCTGAATGAATTATTCTTACCTTTATAAGAAGGTCTGACCGGCAAAAGTGGAGAAATTGGGAACATTGGTGGCATAGTGAGAGGAAGCCGGGGTAACCATGGAAACAGAGATGGACGGACGGATGAAAATGCTGAGGGACTGTAAGACAGAGGATGGGGCATGATGGGAAATGGGTCAACACGGTGTCGGAAGACATCAAACATCCTGACAATATTTTTTTCCTGTTTCCTCCATTTTGCTCGTCTGTTTTGGAACCAAACCTTAAAGTAAATTCCACTAAATATTATTAAACAGAAAATATATAATGATTTCTTTGATTTTTATAACAAGGGAGAATAAGTTCAGTTTTTGAATTGTTAGTCAATGATCTTTGTTCCTGTTGATAAATAGTTAAATTTCGGCTAACATAGAAAGAATATGTCTGTATATTATGTGCAGTTTAATCAATTACAACATGCATGCCGTTTTCTGTTTAATTCTTCCTTATGTGATCATTATCACATTAAGAAGCCGACAATGTATCTCCACTTTTAATATAAACTCCCCTTTCCCCCCATTTTTTTTTTTTTCACTTTTGTCCCACTTCTAAGATTAAGACACCAGGCTAAACTTTTGACTCATATTAAACAATAAACAAACTTGTTTAGACAGATTACACAAAAATTGTTTTTTGTGATAAATAAACCAAGATCTAATAATTTATCGTAAGGGATTTTCCGAATAAGAGGATAGCGCTTACTGTGTATTGTATGACACTATCTAGTGGTGATAACTCCGGATTAGGAAACGTGCTTCAGTGTTTTGGGGGATTATTTTAACAGACTTTTTTATTATTTACAAAAGATTAAAAGCGTCAAGTTTTGGCCATAAATCGCCTTAATCAGCTGCAGTTCAGATGTCAAAAGTTTGCTGATCGTTTATTAGAATGATATTACGCCAATTATAGACGGATTAGGCAATAATTCTTCACTAAGTTTATGTTTTAATTTTCAGATTTGAATTTATAATCTTAATCGGATTCTTAAACCGCATATCCGTGTGACTAATTATGAAAGTTTTGCAAAGTGATTTGAAAACATGTATTCTAAAGTCCAACATATTTGAACGATTGAAAGAGAGATTAAGATAGAAAATGGATTAGGATTTACGGGAGAACTGCGATGATCTCAGAGCAAAACCCCATATAACTAAAGAAAACTACCAATACACTCCAATTAGTGTGATTAAACTTTACATTACAGCAGTAATTTGATGAATTAAAATCAGGATCATTTTATTATTTACTTAATCCCTAAAATCAAATGTTTGAGGGTATATATAATTAAATCCCTGAGTCCTAAGTAGTTTCTTTAAGTTCATATGCAATTTTAAATGAATCTCGTTAAATTATCCGACATAACCTTAAAACACTGGCAACTAATCAAAATTTTAATGGGATGCCGTTAAACATTCTCTATCTTGTTAGACACTACAAAAGATTTCTATAAAATCCAATTCATGTGTTAAATGTTTGAAAATGAGATTTTTTCCCTTTACTTTTCATTCATTTTTGTTTAAGTACAGTTAATTAAAATATATACCAAGTGAAAAGATTTTGATCTCTACCCTTTTTTCAAATATTATAATAAACAAAATATTCTTCCCAAAATTACTAATGATATAAATAGATAAAATATATATGATACAATATTGTTACACCTTTAAAAATTGTTTCCTATAAAACTTTATTCTTAAAAAACTCTATCATTTCTAATGTTTTTCAGAGCGGTCCAAAAAAATCGATTTTGGACCGCTGAGTGAGATATTGGACCGGTCAATGAGATATTGGACCGCTATGAAGTTTTTTTTAAGTCACACTGTAGGCGGGATCATCTATATCTTATCAATTATAGCAAACATGGAAGCCAGCGCAAGATATGTTAAAATAAACAGTAAAAGGTATTACAAAACAATTATTGACTGTGTTCTCTGGCAAAATGCGTTTTTTCGACCCTTCGAACCAAACTGATTGGTTCTTGGGTCAGTCAATAAATGTATATAAATGACCATGTAGACTTTTCTCCTATTTGACAAATGCATGGATGAAAGAAGCTATCAACGATCTTTGTCACATGCAAGTTCTTACGAAGTACCTTATAAAGTATTTTTAATCTATGTTGGGGAAGGGTGGTTGGGCGAGGGGGGGGGTCGATTTTCTATTTTATTTGGGGGTGGGGGGATGTTTGTGCCAGCGAAGCGACCTCTATGAAAATATCACTTTTATCACAGCTCTTAGACTTCTATCTGGGAGTGTTATATTCTTCCTCACGCAAACTTAAGAATAGTCTTGGTGCGGTGTAAGGTCGTGTTTGAATTCTCAGTGTAACTAGTGGTGCGAATTCTAAAAGAAAAAAAATGACCAAAAAGTAAACGTTCTGCAGGAAAACAAGTACAGAACACATGATGATTATCAGAGTTTACGTAAAAATCTTGTGTTTTATTCAAAATATTTTCTATACATGTAAAAGTAATAAGCATATAGAATTTGCATATGCTGGTGTGTATAACGAAGGACACTGAAAAAAGTAGTATTTTTTTTATATAATTGACCCAAACACATGACTTCCATTCTTCCAGGACTCATAAGAATACAAATCATCGCCGCGCACTTCTCTGAGTAATCCCCATCCCAACGCATAACCCAAATACTTATTTCTTTAAATGTTTACTTTGAAAAGTTGTTGACGTGTTTTATATATTGTATTCTAATGAAATCAGATTGATAATGGTCCTTTAAATTCTAAATACACGTGGATTGGTATTTCTAAGGAGATTTTGTGTTAAATCGCTGAATTTACCCCCGTTTTCAAATAAAGTAAGACACTAATCCATCGTTAATTAGCTCATCACTTCTGCCTAGGAGCAAGAATTAGTTCCTCCGTCGTTTCAAATTCCTCGCGCCCAGCAGGTCATTTTTAAAGTCTCTAATATCGCTCTACAATCTTGGCGGGTTTACTTGAGTCAATAATGATTTGAATTACTCCCTTGGAATAAAAGCGTTTAGCGCATGATAAACAGACAATGCATCGTAACCAATCCTCTTATAAATTTGTCGAAAGGACAGTTGTGTGCTTTCTATGTCCTGCTGTTTTTTAATGTATTGCTGGCCATTGCCTAAAGCTATCTTTATGATGGACAAAAATGGCCAAAATTTGTCAGCTTCTTTAGATGCGAGATTACAATATTTGATAATTATGAATATTTTTTGAAACTTGATGGTAGCGAAAAAGATTGATAAAATTCAAAATCCATATGAACTGCATATAAATATGTCGTTTACAAATAAAGAATTACAAACAAAATGATGTCATGAGCTGTGGTGGATCCAGGATTCTTGAAAAGGGGGAGGGGCAACCATTTGAGGGTCGGGGTGAGGTACTTCGACCCCGGAAGCTCTCAGGCTTTAGGAGATTTTTTTGAACGGTATTTTTTTAATTATTTCAGCTATATTTTAAGGTATACTTAATGCAATATCCAACTCACAAAATTGGTTTATTAATCTTATGTATATTTTTGGTCGCAAAAAGGAGAGGGGGCGGACCCCATGCCCCCCCCCCCCCTAAAAACTCGATAGTGATGAGTACATATAAATAAATTGCCTGTACTCATTACATAAATTTCTTGTAATTTATTATTCAATTAAAGACAGATATAAAAGTAATCCTCTTTTATTGTGCAGTTTAAATTATTTCTGTTTTCGAAATGTTTTCCACTTCCTTCTGTTCATGTTCTATTCATTATTTTATTTATCGATTCAGGAATTTTTGGGTCTGTAGAGGGCCTGTATTCTGCCCCATTCCAATGGTAAAAAGTAAGTGTTTTTCCCAATTTCATTAAAGAAAATTGTCCAAAGACAATCGAAACAATAAAAATATGGTTTAAAAAATGTCCAAACTCAGTAACAATTGAGATTAAAAAAATATCTAAAAGGCATACTCCAAAAACTGACTGACTGAATATTAAATAATCAATAAATACTTTGTAAATGAAAACTTAAAAAAAAAAAACTCTTATTTGAATTTATTAAGAAAAATGTTAAATGTAATATTTTTCTCAATTTCAACCAAATGTTGCTATTTTTTCCAAATAGAAAGGTTGATTTTAAGACCTAAAAAAACACCTGCGATTGTCAGATGAGGACTGTCTTTTTGCTTCCATTTCTTTCCTTCTTTTCAAAATTGTTAACTAGGATTCATCCTATTCAATCTAAAAATCCAAATCTTTCTCTTTTTTTTTTTTGAAGGGGAAAGTGGGAATGGATTTTTTTTTTTTAGGCTGTGGTAGGAAAAAATTGCGAAATAATTCATAGAAAAATAAAAACATAGTCTAGGTAAAATGTAAATTAAATTACAATTAAACAATTTTATTTTGACTGATGAAATTCTGAACAATATATATAGCAATAAAACCTTGTATAGCATATATTGCAAATATAATTCTGAAAACACATATTTGCCAGAAATAAATGAATAGAATAAATAAATAAATTTAAAAAAAATTGGTTTAAAAAATTAAGAAAGTAGAAGCTCATGAAAATCTTATTTAAAAAAAAAAAATTAAAGTCAATATTTTCTGGATAAACTAAGTGCCATTATCTTAATTAAAATAATAATGATAATAAGTTAAACTTGTCCTTTAAATGACATGGAAAAATCAGACACAGGTTTGCAAAACACAATGATCAGTTTTCTTGAAGTTTTGTACCCAGTCTGATTATGCAAGATGCAATATGATTAAGGTTTTTTGGTCAGTATACTAGTATACTGTACATTGTATTCTTTTGGTCTGAAGAACTCAAAAACATAAGATGGAGGGTAACTTTGGTCATATTCTTGCAATCAGTTGATTTATATTTTTCCAATAACAAAATCTATGAATTTTTTTTTATATGAATCTGTTGTACATCTTTGTAAAAGTGGTTGATTACTAATACTTCATAACTTACTCATTGGTGGACATTCGCAATTAAATAAAACAGTTACTGTTTACATGTTTGTAAAAAAAAAAAAAATCAACAGAGGTATCCAGAAAGAAAAACAAGTATCTCAAGATTATTTTATTTCATACCTGCACTCTCGCCTCTGTTAGATCCACCTTTTCAGCGATCTGTTCACGGAGTGTACAGTCTGGATAGTGGGTGTGTTGAAACACCGCCTCTAGTTCCCGGAGCTGGTCCGAGGTGAATGTCGTGCGGTTCCGGCGCTGTTTCTTAGCCGCCGAAACATCGTCTGTATCATCCTCGTCCGCAGTGGGAGATTCTGAAAAATGTTTCAATTCGTGAAAAATTTAAAATATTTTTTTTTAAATAAGGATTTGATTTGTTTCATTAAATCCGCCAGATTAATAATTCATTTTTTTTAAATGTAAAATTTTAAATATTTATCCTTAAAGAAATTATAATGTAAAATATATGTTGACTTTCAAAATTATAAACGATCGTAAAAAATGTAGGGAAATAATATTAAAGATATGAAGAGAAATTGAAGTGTTTTGAATAAAGAAGGTTTGTCAAAACTGAAGAAATTTTGTTTAACTTGAAAGTTTAAAATTTTCCGTTCTCTTCCGACAAAAAGCCCGGACAAAGATAAATATTTTTCAATAATATTTGCTACCTTTATTAAGGAAAATTTTTCATGTGTTATCACAAAGAAAACGAGATTTTTATTTAATTTTTAGTTCTATATTAAGATTAGTACCTGGAGTTTCCGTGGAGTCGTTTATAGAATCTGTTTCGTCGACGACATCAATTTCTTCGTCCTCTTCTTCCGTGAAATTTTTAACAAGTTTCTGGGTCTCAGTCCGCGATTTCTGAATCTCCGATGCCATTATAGAAAAAAATCAAATTCAACAGTCAATTAATCTAAAACTATCACATAATCTACATTTAAGAAAAAAAAATTAAAATCTCCACCACTAAATAAATATTTTCTTCACTTTTCGGTAATGTAGCAAATACTGTGTCCGTCGTTTGGCGTGTCTAATTAAGAATTAATGATGTCGGTTTCATGTCTGATAGAATTATCCTCAGTATGTGGATTGTGATTGTTGATCCATGCATTTAAATTTAACGAGTTTGGTCAGGGATAGGGCTATTTTC